GATGAAAAGACAAACAAGTACATGTATATTCAATAATAATGTCAGCTGGGTCAGAGAAGAATAGAAAATAAAATGAATTCGTAACACCTCTGGAGACAGCTCTCTGATACAGACAGTTTTCTCTTTGATTTGCCCTCACTGGCAGTATTCATTGTGACTTTAACATATCCACCAAATTGGCCTTTATTAATAGCTGGCCTGATCTTTGTAACAAATGTACTCTGTAATCTCCAGTCTGGGTGCTTCTGAGGTTAACAATTACATAAGAGCAGAATAGATCACATGCGTATTTACAGGGATCTCTCACTCAGGAGGGCCTAATTTCATGTTCAAACCATCCAGACAGTGTTTGAGCTGTAGATACAGAGCTCTTCTTTCTCAGGGCTTTGAAGCTGAAATGGGTTACCTCTCTAGATATGATAGTCACCTTGGATTAAGGTTGCTGGCAATCTTAAAAAGCCCTTATTGGGCTTTGAGTGTGATCAGATGCTACTTGCTTATAAATGAGAGTTAATAGAAACATTAAACAGTACAAGCTACCGTGACCCATGCCTTCAGAATATTAAGCACATTTTAAAATTGTGGAAGACCATCTAGTCCTCTGCTTTCTGTAAAATATTACCTCTTCTAACCAATATCCTCTGGGAGCAGGTTATTTGAACTCTTCAACGTTCTACTTTCATTTGCACATACCATGTATTTTTAATTTATTCCCTCACTTCTCTGGCTACCATATATTTATTGTTGATACCATACTCAGTTTCTCTTTAATTATTCCATCTGCCAGGAGTGTGTGATGCATTTTAGAAGCTGTGTGGTTTAGTTGTTTAACCTTTGAGTCTTGTAACTGAATGGGATGACATATTCTTCATTTAGCCGAACAGCCTGAGAAGAATTATATACTGCAAGTGATAAGCTTGGAACTGCTAAAGAAATACCAAAATCCATTTTTTTTCCTCTCTCTAGTTGTCTAAACATCCATTAGACTCTTGAAGGGGACTCGTAAATCCTGCAAATTTAGTTTATCTGAAACCAACTCTAACAGTTGTCCTTCCTACTAATCATGTTTTATATCCATTTTATATTTTTCAATATTCAATAAACATGTCTTGCGTTTACTTTACTTGTTAGAAAGTGTCGTCAGTATAGGCTGTATGGGGACAGTTATTAATCAGCTATTTCAGATGGCTGTTTGATTAGTTTAGTAAGTGTATTAATTTATCTTTTTTATGTTTTCTTCTTTGTTCTTTCCATTTATCCAGTATGGAATTTCCTTTGTCCTTTTTGGTTTATTTCTACCAGGATATGTCAAAAAAACAAAACTGATAGCTGGAAAGAAAAAAAAAAAACCACCACCCTTTGGGCTTCGTTCATGAAAAGATCCTTTGCATTATGTCCTCTTAGATCTGCATTAAAAAATAATAATAGAGTACATTATCTAGCAGTGCTGCTTTAAAGCAGTGGATAATTTACACATTAAAGTGAGAGGTAGGTTTAAAAGTAGGAGTGAGGATTGAATTAGAGTTAAGAGTCAGAATTATATAGTCCTGTATGAAGATGGTCTCGGTTTCCTGGGGGTATTGTCCTTCCGATGGGTAATGAGACTTGCACATAACAGTCTGGGGCTGTGGATAGATCGAGGTACAACAACATGTTGAGAATGGCACAGCAAGCAATGACACTGGAGAAACAAATGTGTCTGCTAGATAAACAACATTAAAAGTTCCTGTTCATCACCGAAGTCCAGGCCTTTGAAGATTAATATTTCCTGAAAAATTCTGTATTGGGTTTACATGGCAAGGTTTTTGTAGCAGGGCAGACTGCAGTTGTGGTTTCTGTGCGAAGCGGCCAGAAGCTTCCCCCATGTCCAACAGAGCCAACGCCAGCCGACTCCAAGACAGAACCACCACTGGCCAAGGCTGAGCCCATCAGTGACAGTGGTAGCGCCTCTGCCATAACATATTTAAGAAGGGGAAAAAAACCTGCTGCACAATAACAGCCAGAAGAGAAGAGTAAGAATATATGAGACACAACTCTTCAAACACCAAGGTCAGTGAAGAAGGAGAGGGAAGAGGTGCTCCAGGCACCAGAGCAGAGATTTCACCATAGCCCATGGTGCAGACCATGGTGGGGCAGGCTGTTCCCCTGCAGCCCATGGAGGTTAACAGTGGAGCAGATGTCAAACTGGAGGACCCCACACCAGAGCAGATGGATGCCTGAAGGAATCTGTGACACCACAGAGAGCCCATCCTGGAGCAGGCTCCTGGCGGGACTTGTGACCCCATGGAGAGAGGAGCCCACACTGGAGCAGGTTGGCTGGCAGGACTTGGAACCCTGTGGGGGACCCACACTGGAGCAGTCTGTTCCTGAAGGACTGCACCCCATGGAAAGGACCCATATGGAGCAGTGCATGAAGAACTGCAGCCCCTGGGAAGGATCGACGTTGGAGAAGTTTATGAAGGACTGTCTTCCATGGGAGGGACCCCATGCTTGAGCAAGGGAAGAGTGTGTTTTGCCTGTGACAGGAATTGCCAAGCAATCTCCCTGTCCTTATCTCCACAAGCCTTTCATCGTCTTTTCTCTCCCCTGTCCATTTGAGGAGGGGGGGTGATAGAGCAGCTTGGTGAGCACCTGGCATCCAGCCAAGTTCAACTCACCACAAATTCTTACTTTTAGAAGTTTCTTTGTCCATGCTACAGTCTTACTTTTATGGGTTCACATATTACAGGGAGGCATCTGCCATTTATCAAGACATTAATGACTAATAGTTTTGTGTCCAGATACTTGTAACCACTGAGCTGCCCAACAAGAGGTCACCAAAAGACAGATGACTTACAAACTCATTTAAAGATCTCCTTGCACTTTCTCTTTTTAAGAACGCCAGCAGGTCTTTGAACCTTCTGATATTTCCACATTGGGATTATTGTCCTGTCTTTAAAATTCCTTGTACCAGGGGGCTTCCATGATTTAGTGGTAGTCTTCAAACGACAAAAAAACCAACTTCCTACAGAATATCCATTGATTGCTGCAGTTATTTAAAGGCTAACAACAAAAAAAAAAATCATAGACTTCAGTCTCCATCAAGACAGAAAGAAAATAGTAATTGCAATTTGCAAGCTTCCTGCTGTGGGTAAAGGAGCTCAGACTGGGAGAAAGGAAGCTCAGCAATTTTAGTGGCTGTCACAGCAGATCTGGGTGAGATGTGCCGATTCATTCATATGTCATCCTGTGATAAAAGAATTTGACAAGGTGAAAAGATGGGTGTGAGGTAGAAGTGTGCCCAAAGGAATATCAGCTCTGAGGAGGACCACCAGATAAAAGCGTGAATATATGGGAAGCTGCATGGGAATGTATTTCATGGCTGCAAGTCACATCATTCTAGGTAGACAGACCTCAAAAGAAGAGATCTTTCCTGCAAAGATGTAACAGTAAATAATATGGTTTCTTACCCCATGCATTTTGCCATACCCAAGTCTTGGATTAAAAAAAAAAGTGGTAATATGAGTGTTAATATAGCAGTATACATTATTCAACTCTTTCTTCTGCCAAAGGAAAGGAACGAGGCATTGGGACAGCCACATCTTTTAGGAGTTTTCTTCTCCTTTAACCAAGGGCAGGGAGCTGTTATGTGAGATTTCCCTGTATGTAAAAAAAAAAAAAAAAAGAGGATATGAATTAGCAGATTTCTACGTAGGAAAATGTTTGATCTGCCTTCAGATACTAACAACTGTGAGGACCCATCAAACCTTAAACAAGCTCCTCCTCTTCTTGCTATTGTCTGCTCTGCATTCCCAGTTTGATAAGGTGGAGATTGGTACTGGCCTCAAAGATCAGTGATGCCCTGGATCAGAAATGAAACATGGAAGACTTTTCCTCAGTTTTTAAGAGTCTGAGTTCTGAATTTCCCTTCCACCTTCTGATTTAAAAATACATGTAGCTGTATATGGCCTATCACAGTGAGACAATGTGCAAATAAAAGAGAACATGAAAGAGGAACTGACTGCCAAAATTGATGATGGATGAGTCTGAAAGTCGTATGTTCTTACCTAATACCACACAGAAGGACTCATACATACATGCGTCGAGTATTCATCAGTTTACTTATCACAGACCTGATTTTGCCGTTGTTGAATTGAAAGGGAGTTTTTCCTCTGACTTTGCTGAAGGGTAGATTCAGCCCATTGTATATAAAGTTAATTCATTAAATGTAATTCTGTATTATCTCTCTGTTTTTTTCAGAATGCTTGAGGATGATCTGAAACTCAGCAGTGATGAAGATGAAAATGAACAGGTAAATGCATCTGATATAAGTGCATAGACATATAATCTGATGCAGTTATTTCATCAGTTGAGTGTGATTGCATGTTGGTTTGCTATATTTGCATCAAAAGCATTTTGGGGTGCTGCAGAACCCATTAACCTAAGTCTTGCTTGCGTGTACAACCTCTGTGGGAAGAAACACAACTGCAGAGTTGGTTTGCACTTTGCAATTCATTTGTACAATTGCACTGAAGAAGACTGGGTCTGTAAGTTTTGTTCCAGTCAGTGAGTAAAGGGCTTGGAGTCCATAGTTGGTAATCCAGTGATTACCATTTCTGAGAGGGAAAGTCCTCAGTGTGTAGTTGTAAATCAATACTGGAAGTCTCTCAACCTACTTGGGACATTAATGAAGAATCATTTCATAAAGCTGGCTCTTGTCATTCTCTATCCTTCCCGTTTTGTGAATATTTATGAATAGTGCTCGGAAATAAAGTTGGTGAAATTCATGTTCTCAATATTCTTATCAGAAAAAAAAAAAAAAGAGAGAAACTTTGGGTTAAATTAATCCTTCATGTTACTTTATATATGCAGTAGGCTCAAATGATTAAACATCTGCAATAGACAGGAAGGTAATGCTGTAATTCAGCATAAGATCATCTGTTCAGCCTGAGAAATGTTAATTATTAGTCAACCTTTCTTTCTTATTTATTTTTAAACCACCCAGAAGTTCTCCTTCTACCTACCTAATCCATCGTTTAAGGTCATGCCAGGAGAAATTTACCTTCCTGGTGTCAGTTGACCCCTTAGTCATACAAGTCAGTATTTTTTAGCACCAAGTTAGACTTGCACTCTCATTTGAAGCCAGAGGATCGATCAAAAGCCTGTACTTGTGCGTTGTGCTGTTGTACAAGTGTGGTGGCTTATGAAACCAGCAGATTTCCTGATCTATTGGAAACTTGCCCAAATAGTCTTGTGAAATGACATTGTGATACTGAAATGCCCAAAATATAGAAATGGAAATAAATTGCCAGGTAGGAGTTACTTTTGTTTTTCTACAGTAGTAGTTTTCTAGTGACTTAAGTAGAATTGTTCCAAATTTACACAATTTACGCTGCTCAGATGAAATCATGTGTCGCTGCTGAATGAAGAAGCAAATGCCTGGACCAGCATTTGCTGACATCAAATTAAAAGCCCTCACTGACTTGAATAGGTGTCATCTCTGATGTTAATCCCAAGTAGAAAAGACGTGGTTGTATCTGTGCTGCACAGCAGAGTATTGATAGCTCTCAAAAATCACTGCTGTCTTGTGGTACATGTGTACCTCTTACCCAAAGGCAGCATCACGTGTGTAAACAGTGTCACATTTCTCCCAGTTCAGGGGCTACAGCCTGAGTCCTTTTGTGGTGGTGATGTGCAGGAACTGCAGAAGCCTCAGACAGCATCAGAACTCCATATAAGTTTCCAGTAATGCCATTCACAACATAAGCTGCAGACAGACAAGAGAGCACAACAAGGACTGTTCATGTAGTTTCTAAAAATTTTATAGTACATAGCAAATGTTTTTTCCTTTTGGCAATGTGAGCTTCATCTCACCCTGAGTGATTAAAATTGATTCAAATGTCCTAAGCTCTCCCAAATATCTTCTTAAGAAACGTATTATGGTCTGTATATTTAGGGATTCCAAACATGAAAGCTTCCAATCACATAAAAAATAAACTGTCTAGACAAGAAGCACACTAAGCATATCTCTTAAATGTCTGCACTTCAAGGGAAACCTTCACCTTTCCTATGTAGCCCACATATGTATGGTTGCATCTCTTTTATTTTAATTTAAAACAGGGTATACACAAAGTTATACACATTACAGGAAAGAATCCCACAACTTTTTAGGTTTCCTGAATGAATGACTGTATGTGTCTGTCCTTTAGATTCTTGTCACACACTGGATCCCAGACCAAGGCCTTGCAAAACTGAGCAGCATGGCTCTGCCACATCACTCACGCATTACACTGGCAGTGCCTTCACGCTTTAGCAGCTTCTGCCATATCTCTTTAAAGAGAGGGGATTACAAATAGAAAGGAAGGTTGATCTGTCCCACTGGTCAGACCCATAAACATCAAAAAAGTAACTGCAATGGTTTTTGACTGCAAAATATATTTTCCAAAAGTATATAAAATATTCATTCATTAGGGACATATCATGGCAATTACAGTATTTTAATTTTACAATGTTGAATGTTCAGCTGTGGAGCCTAAGGTTAGAAAAATACTTTTTTTTTTTTTAACATAAAGATTGTACAGTCAAATAACCCTTGTAATTCAGCTGTACACGTGTGTGCATTCTGACAGGGAGAGAAAAGATTGAAATTCTCAGCTCAAAATCATCCTAACAGTTTATGCATCATTTTTATAAGGAAATGGAACCATTGTCTTTACAATCTTTCTGATTTATTTTTTTTTTTGCTATAGGCTTGAAGCCAATGTGAAACATGAGCTAGCATTTACTCATTTTTATAAATAAAAACACAGTCTGTAAAAATTAAGTTTGTTATCTTTATCTGTACTCTTATTTCAAGGAAACTGAAACTCTTTGAGAACAGTGGTCAGCAGAGATCCCTAGGATTTGTCCTTTCAGAATTGCTAGGGACACTTCAGTCTTTTCACAGCAGGGGCGGTAGTGACACTGATCCATAAGTGGCCCTTGATCTCAAGTTTTAGTGAATGTCTATAATATGTGGAGAGAGTCTGATCTATCAGCCTGTCTTCTGAGACTACCAGTAGTCCATTTGTCATGGTGGAAGGTTGTTAGAAGCTTGTCTGCAAGAAACAAAGCTCTTCTGTCTTATTCTCTCACACCTATGAATGAGCACACTTATTTCTCATCTTTATTGCATTTATTTAGGGGTCCATGGACCTCATGCTCTTTCAGGTGTTAAACATCTCTTTCCTTTTCTCCCCATTGCTGAGGAGAAACCCAACATGCATGATAGGTCTGGTCAGTCATATAATTAAGAAATTGAGCCTGATTTCTGGATAGGATGAGAACTACCAGGTTGAAGTCAGTGAAAGGTGTTTAAACGTGCTGCCCACTTTTAGCATTCACTTTTCAAACAGGATTTTGAATAACTGAAAATTGTTCGTTAGAGTTATACATGGTCTGGAGAACTCTCCTTAATATAAATGTTAGGTCTTTTTTGGTTAAGACACATGTGATGATGGCCTGGCAACATATTACCTAGAAAAAGATTTCTGAAAGGAAGCTATATACTTTAATTTCACCCCAGAGGGCTTAAGAGGCTTCAGCAAGTGAGAGTTGAGTGGAAAGCCAAACTACTAGTGCCAAACTGATAGAAATTTCTTGGAATCCTTGTCATTTCCCTCTCTTTTTAGACTTCTGGCAGTTGTGGGATTGATGTTGAAGTTGTCAAGTGAATTTCTTTCTGCTGTGATGTGAAGGAGGTCCAATGAGACATTTGTTGCAGGTCCCTTCAGGCTTCGGATCTGTAAAGCTTTGGACCATATTGATTTTTTCAGTAGAGCACAAGGGAAGTTACAAGTCACTCCACTCCAGCTACAAACTCCTGTCATCACTTTTTGGGCCTCACTTGGAGAGACCACAGTACATCTAACACATGTAAACACATCCCACAGTATTGTCAGTGTGGACTCTTTAGAACTGGCCATATGACACATGCTTTGTCCCATAGACAAAATGCTGATTCTTATGTCTCATTGTGGGTGACTTGGGATTAAAGACACACAGCAAACGATGGGTTAGATCTGGAATCAATTTTCATTTACAGCTGAGAAGCAGTTATTGATGCTGTGCTCACAGTTCAATAAAAGATCTGAAGATACAGACCTTGTGTTTCTCTTTCAATATAAGCAGTATAATCAGTCTCAAATGTTTTTACAAAGAAAATTGTATTGACATTTTTATTAAAATTGCTGTCTTTAAAGTTTTAAGTTATCCACAATTTGACCTACTTGAATGGCTTTTAATATGCATACTGACCAACCCAATAGATTTTTATGTCACTTATTTATAATACCATGTACACATCTGTTTAATGTATTATTTGAGAGATATTGTTATATTTAAGCATTGCCTGGATTGTAAACTCTTGTTGTATTGTCACTGAGAGGGATGTTGGCATATGCATCAGTATTGCATTCAGAAGTCCTACTGCAGAATGTTTTTGTATTGGCTATGAGAGATACAGTCAAGGCAGATGACAGACATGTTTTTAGTAAAACTGTTAGATGACAAGATGTTTCAGAGATGCTAATGTTAACCCTGTTCTGTGAGGAAGGACAGAGCTTTTAGATGGCTTTATTACTCTGTTAAAAAAATACATCAGAAATTAGGAAGAGTAGTGAAGATTTTTAATTAGTAGCTCAGTTCAGCTAAAAGAGCTTAGATAAAACACAGGTTAGTATTTTTGTTCTTTAAAGCACCTCTGTATAATTCAAATTAACTTTGAGCTCAAAGGCATCCAAATGAGTTGTGCCTGGATACAGTATTTTAAGTAGCTGTAGCGTACCCAATTTTCTTTAACCAGCTCCTCTTTGTTCTTCTGCCTAAGGAATAGTCCTGTTAACCTTTGAAATGCATACTTAATTTAAAGTACATTGCTAGTGTTCTGTGTGTTTTTGAACCAAAGAAACTTTGATACTAGTTACAGACCTGCTCAATTTTCAGTATTTTATGTATATAGTGGTTTTGTCAAAACAAATCAATAAGATGTTTTTCTTTTAAATTTGATTTTTTTTTCCTCCTTCCCTTAATGATTGCAACTTTATTGCTACTTCTCTGATAACCATACAAACACAAGACATGCATATGATCCATGGCCCTGCCCTGTTATTTGTATTTTACACAGACATAATTGGTTTTTTGCTAGGTTAGTATTAGGTAATTACATACAAAATGTTTGACTTTGTAGCTGAGTCTAAAAAGGTGATCAGCCATAGGCTGAGCTTTGAATTCTTATAATGCATACTGAGCTTTCAAAGCCTTTGCTCAAGTTAA